TTATAATTCAAATCATTTTTTATAAATTTTGAGCAAGATCAAGAAACTGAATATTGATTTGTATAGAATTGAACTTCTGATTATTATTTTTGTCTTTAAATTTGGAAAAGATGGTTAAGTATTTTTTTGGATAAATATATTGATTTGCTATAGCATTATTTTTGATATAGTTGTGCACTGCAACTTTAAATAAGTAATATTGATTTGTATAGTTGTGCATCGTAACTCTAAATAAGTGATATTGATTTGTATAGTTGTGCATCGCAACTCTAAATAAGTGATATTTCTTTTAGTTATTCATTTTCTTTGATATTGAAAGTACTAGAACGTATGATTATAAGTATAGAAATGTCAATATCCTTCTTTTTTAGTTAACAATCCCTTTTTATCAATTACCTCTCTGAACACTCCCTTTCAACCTCTCTTTTCACCTTTAATAGAATTGTTTAACAATTTCTGTCAAAATTGACACAGGCTTAGATACTTATTTTTGCACTGACCAATTTTATTAGTCTATTTCTCTCTTTTAACTCATATGACTCTTTTATTAATAGTGAAGAAACTCTTTATTTAAAGTAATTGTAGCAGTATTCATGAAAATAATGTTGACTTTGATGTCAGGTATACTAAAGAAGAATCATTTGTTATTAAATTATAACAAACAAATATGATTGATATTTTTATCATAATAAAAATACCTGAAAGAACTATGTGTTAATTAATATTATGATTATCTCTCACTCTAAAAGAAATTGATATTAAAGATAAAACTATTGACTCAGACTATATTAAAAATATCAGTATTATTCTATATAATTAATTTGATAATAATTACATAATTCAACTAAACAATAAAATTGAACAAGCAGTATTCCTATAACTTGCTCTCATCAAAAGATTATAACCAATACAAACTCAACAAGAACTAGGAGAAACTAATTGTGAAACTGGTAAATTTAGATCTATTAATGACAAAGACATGATAACTTATTTCCTAAATCAAGAAAAAGACAAGAATAACAATAATTCAAAAAATTAACTTTTGATAAATATAATGAATTATTTTTATTTATATTATATTTAGTAAACAAAAGTTTGCAATCAGAAATCAATTTTATTAATAAAATATAATAAAAATTGAAATTTTCTTTTTTTTTCTAATTAAATTTTATTTTTAATTAAAAAAATTTTTGTAATAACTTTGTTATTAGAACAACTTTTTCAGAAAAAATATGTTAAACTATAAAAACAAAAATTATTTATTAATAAATTATAAACTTAATATAAAAAGAAAATTTCAATTTTTACTATGTTTTATTGGAGTTCACTAAAGCAGAGTAGTATCATGTAACATGTGATTCGATCCGGATCGTATCATGTGATTTTAAATTACGTTAAATTCATGATTGGTCAAATCAAATCATGTGAATTATTTTAAGAGCCTGGAAAGGGAGAAAGTTAGATCATTTAATTAAGAGCTTGATCATCATTATTTAAAGAATATTTAATCATTAGGCATATTAGAAACCTATATTAATGGAAAGAAAAGAAGAACAGATTACTTAACCATCTAATTAGCCATTTTATTGAATTATTTCTAATTAAATACAAAATTATTTATATTGCTATTTTAAAAATTGGATCTAACGATTTATCTAAACAGGTGATAAATGCTCTAGTAGCGTCTGCATCACCTTTATTCTCTATTGTCCAATATTTGTCTCGCACCCTTTCCATAAGTTCACCCACCTGCAACTTACGTGTCTCTGCCTCTCTTTCCTCTCGAGTCTGAACAAGCTCAGATATTTTGATCGTCCCCCGATGCTCATACACTTCAAAGCCAGTCTCCGCAAATAACTGCTGAAATTCCTTCCAAATATCAGTCATTAGTAATTTATTATGACCGAATAGATGCTCATGAAGAATATGTCGACAAGGAAGAAGATAACAATTAAAAAATATACAATGACAATTCGGTGATGTCAGGTTTGGTGACAATTTTCCTTTCGTAATCCTAAAATTCATAGCGATGGTCTCACCCAAGATTAGTTTTTGAATTGGGTATGGAAATTTTTGAATTTCCTTGATGGTTTCATCATCAATATCGATCGCAGAGATTCGCTTTTGGCGAAAGTTGAAGGTAGTCTTTTCCAAATTCAACTGCTTTTTATTATTGAGCTCAATAATCTTATGACATGCATCTAACAAATAAAGAAACAGTAATTTAGTAATGATGATGATAGCGAAAAATACGATATAGTTGCAATTAATAATGCTTACCAATTAAACCATATTTCTTTGCGGTTAATCTTTTTAATTCGCTATGGAATGATTCTAATGGATTCATAGAAGTAACTTGAAGTAAGAGAGGTGAATGTTGATGCGCCCAAAGCGCCCATTTCTCTGTGTTCTTTGAATAATTGCGTTGAATATAGCGAACGATGTCTGGAACGGGACAGGTGGCGATGGCATTACGAATTACTTCCTCGCAACCTATACTTGTTCTTTTATGCATAGCTAGAATCAATTTATTATGTATCACCAGATGGTAGATATTATGTAGCCACGTACGCATTACATGAACAGTATATAAAATAATATCACAATTTTGCTCGCCACACATAATGCTGGGGAAAGCATTTGTAATGCTATTAATCTCCACATTGCTTTGATCGCTAAGTACATATCGAGAATGCCAACGAGATGCGAATTCTCGAATCACCTTTAATGCCTTGGTTACTGTATTACTGTCTTCATTACTTAGAAGAAAGTGTGCACCCACGTCCCAGGAACCGTAACTATCACAGATATACAAAGTAAATAAATGCCAGGAATGTTTATTAGTATTGTAAGTGGAGTCCATGAGCGTAAGCCATCCGTAACGCCGTAATTTTTCCAATTGCCAAGAACTTGCGAAGCAAAAACCTTTTGATGATTGTTGAGCAACCTCAAAACGTTCAACTTTATAATCTTTGCTGACTAATAGCTTGAGCGAATTTTGAATATCGAGCTCTAGGTCCATTTCGCCTACAAGATAAATCATTAATGGCCCACATATCTTTTGCTGAATGTTGGCGACTTCAGTTCGGCGTAGATTTTGACCAATAATGCCTAAGCCATTCTTTTCTGCTAGTTCTTTGACAGTAATCACAATGGCCGGTGGCGTATATAATTTTATTGCTTCGTTGGCTACCATTTGTCGAATAATTTCAGGTCGTTTAATCTTGTCGTTGTCTTCGATTGGATGGCTGTGATTAGGTATTTTTGAAACATTTAATACGAACTGTTTGAGTTGAAGCAATATGTATTATTTTTATCACTGCATCACACTTTCCAGGATCAAGCTTGCTAGTTTTTCTTCACTTCTCAATGGGAATGCCTTCTTTACGCGTACTTGATTCTCTATGTTTCGCTAGATGACAGGAGTAAACAATTCAAAAATCATTATTCTTATATTTCCAATTACTATATCGCGTCCACACATTAGAAACAAGTGGTTACAAATTTTCGTGAAATTCCTTTTCTGAAACTTCAAATGATTTGTCAACATTAAATATACTGAGGCGTTTTTTATTCGTTGCTTGCATATTAGAGAGAAATAGAGAAATGATGAGAATATAAAGAAATGTGAAAATATAGAGAAATGGCGAGAGTATATAAAGAAATTACGAGTACGTATGGTGAGTAAGTATATTAGTGCATATCTTAACAGTTATATATATTTTAACGTTAATAGTGGTAAATGTTATTAGTCTTAATTAGTCTGCGTTTAATATAAAAACCATAATTAGCTTCCACCCTCTTCCCTTCCCACCCTTGAAATATGAGAATGTTTTCTCGAAAAGTTTATTTTATTTTGCATATAACACTACATGTAAATCCGAATCGAATCAATCCAGATCGACTCAATCCGGATTGCACTACCCCGCTTTAGTGTTTCCCGTTTTATTAATAAAATTGATCTCTGATTGCAAACTTTTGTTTATCGAGTGTACATATATCATTATTTTTTTTTTACTTCAAGATTATATTGTCCTATAAATAAATCGGGGCATTATTTCGTGATCTATTTCTTTATTACTCAACATTCAAATATATTGTTAACATCACTAATCCGTGGCTTTTTAGTGGTGCCTTGTGGATCATTTCTTTTTGTGAGCACGAATTCTGTATTAGTTGTCTGAAGATCGCAGAAGATTCGGATCGGGTCGGAATCACGTGATCTGCCACTTTTTTGCCGCAGCTAGGGTGAATCATTAACGTTATCAAAGAATTATCACGTGGCCCGAAATTTTGGGGATCACCCTGGTAGATTCTATCTAAATGCGCACAATATATGCATGTGTGACGGAATAAAAAGTCCCTTAGTGGTGCGACAGAAAAAATCGCAGGGATGCGTTAAAGCGGAGTAATCACGTGTAAATAGACCAATCCAATTGCAAAGATCAACGAAAAATAGCGAAAAATTGCAAATAACAAAATTTTACTATAACAACTAGTAAGTAAAAATGCTCAGCATGAGATTTTATCTAACAAAATTTCTAATAAATTTGATAATTAATGAAACTACTCTGCTTTAACCTTCTCCAAAAATAGAAAGATGAATATCACTAATAATTGATATCATCGTAATGCACAAAATAAAAATATAATTTTCGTGATTGAGATTTCTAAGAATGCAAAGGTCTCTAAACTTGAAAATGAAGTTTGGGGCCAATCGATCGTGATGGCTTCCTCCGTCAAATTTATCCTGAAGAGACCTATGCAAACAAGGATAGGATTTTTTACTTATTTTAATGATAATCACGATGAAGATGTTATTCACGTCCGAATTTTCCCCTAATGAGTAGTTAGGATCTTTTTAATTATATTTATTATGTATCAGTTGTTGCTTTCGACAACGTTTTTATTGTATAAATAAATCATTGATGTATTAATTTTTCGTATGTATTGGGGTGGATGGGTCTTGCTATATAAAATCGATTTTATTAACTACGCTGTTAAAGTGTTGTGGGTTGAGATAACACGATTAATATCATGCTAACTTGTATGGATAACTGTCTCTCTTTCAAACTTATCCCAATAAATGAAATGACACACAAGGCAATCATCTCATTCACTTCCCAATCTTTTGCACAAACCACGATCTCATCCCCGTGACCATGCAGTCCTTTTGATGAAGTATGATAAAGGCCAACAAGATATTTCTTCACAGCTTCTAGGTGCACGTCATTCAACTCGCACGTCTTCTGCAGACATTTCTTAAAAATTTTTTGTTCATGCAACCGCTGTAATATCTTATCAACAGGTTCGCGCAACGTGAAAGGTTTATTTTCGGTCTTGGAAGAAATCTATTACAGAAAAAACTAATAGATAAAATGCAAAAAAGTTGCTTATGACACGATGTAAAAGATTTACCCGTCCCCTTAACGTTACAGATGTTTTGGAGTTTGAACAGTCTTGTTGTGCGCTCACGTAACTCGAATTCTTCATCCTTTTTTTCAAGCAATAGGTTTATTAACTCTTCATCCATCTTCTTTATCTCTGCATTCTTTTCTTCTAATATTTGCTTTATCTCTTTTTCCTTCTCGCCTAAGATTTGCTTTATCTCTCCCTTCTCTCCTAATATTTGCTTTATCTCATTCACAAGCATCATCGATAGATCCTTGAAATTTACCGCCAGAACATTAATCGCATTTACATCTTGCACTCCTGAGTTCACGGGTGTGGTGGAACCACAAACTTTCGCTGGCCCCACTTCTTCAGCCGAGGGAACAGGTTTGTCAGCATCAATCTCACGGCCCTGTTTCTCTTTCATTGAAGTACCATTTCTAGCGAAAAAGCGTTTTTGCATTTTAAAGTTAACCAAACCCTTTGTGGAATAACGATCGGCGCAATATCTTAGAACTCGAGGCGTCAAGTGGCGAGGAAAAGAAATCATCGTCAATGATGATGGATCCCATTGTAATTCAGCCAATCACAAATGAGATTTTAAAAATATGCACCATAAAAATATCCGGGATACTGTTCTCAATATCGATATAGGGAATTTCTAAAGCCTGGTCCATCACGTGACATGGACTATATAATTAAAGATTGACATTCTTTATTAGTACACCAAGATAGATTTAAGCTTCGGATTTGTTTCGCCGGGCTGATCAAAAATTTACGCGCGTTTGTGTTTCGGACTGATTATAGGATGGACCAGGATTTAGCGTATCCCTCAATATAGCGAGATCGCCATTAAAACGCGTTTTATTATCTAATTTTGTTCCCAATAATATTCCTAGTCAACTGAAACAGCAACAATAATGGACGTCGAAACCTTCAAAAAACAACAGACCGAACAAATTACCACGTTACTTTCGGGCTTTTCGGAATTGCAGCTCGGTTTCGACTTGGATGATGCTGTTTTAGATGATTGTATAGACGCATTCAGTGAGGTGGGCATGACAGCCGAACAGAAGCAGTCTTTATTGGATAAACTAGATTCTCAGAGTAAGAAGAACGATATATAAGACCTTTCCCTTCACCAGTTTCATTAATTCTAATTACACGCAAAACCACAAAAAAGTGCAAACTCGTAATAAAATATTCGAAGAACAAGCAGCACAAATACTTTTAAACTTTCGTCTCGAATGTGAAAAAGACTTGGAAAATTTGCCCCCCGAAATACGAAGCATGTCCGTAGACGAGTACGTAAATGTTTATCACGCGGATCCTACCGAATATTTCACTAGGCGTGCTACCGCACAAGAGGAAAAAGAGGAGGACAAGAAAGAGGGCGCAATTCTAGGAGGTATTGATGAGGCGAAAAATGATATTGAGGTGTGTGAATTATACGTAATATGTTCACGAAGCATAAATATTTTCATATAGCATAGTCATATTGTTAGTTAAGGTAGAATAAAAGAATTTCGTTACATTTATATTTGCAATTAATAGCAACAAGCAATGGAAATAGTAATCTCACAAGATGTTACAACTAAAGAAGACGTGCATATCGATGAAAACGACGTTACAACTAAAGAAGTGCATATCGATGAAAATGGTGTTACAACTAACGAAGAAGCATCAGCAAATAAATCATTAAATGATATAGAGAATTTATCGTTGAAAAGGTAAAAAGATTTCGTTGTCTTTTTTTTCACAATACACAAATTCACATTTTTTATATATAAGAACTCGTGCACTACGAGAAAAGCAAACCGATACCGAAAACCAAGGACCTCGCGCCGCAATGCAAGAATCCGATCACGAAGGAGAGAGTCTCAAAAAACGATACAGTAAGCTGAAAATACTTTTAGTGCATTATCAAAATTTTTACTTTTTAATCGTTATATGATTTTCAGCTCGTTCAATGGATTCTGCTGCCCGTAAGAAGCCAGCCGCAAAAAAAGCAAATCAATCCAAGTCGAGTAAGTACCTTAGCTTTATATATTTTGATAACTCTAATATGCAAATCATCTATTATTTATACAGCGAAACCTTCCAAGCATGATCCTATGCAGGATGTTGTTGAGGTCTCTGAACCGAGTAAGAATGACGTAAAGGATGATGAATTAGAGAAACCAGGTATACTTACACGGCATCCTTTTTTAAATTTAACAATTATTATTGAATTTGTATTGTTTTACATATTAAATTATAATAGTTACGCGTCAAAAATCAAAGAAAAATAAGGAAAAGGTTTGATGAATAAAATCGTATTTATATTGTTTTTGATAGGTTTGAAATCTTACAAGAAATGCTAATATTATGTAGGAAAACGTGGATATCTTTTCACCAATTCGTACTCGAGCTGCACGACGAAAGATTGATGCGCCAATTAATTCTTAGAGTTATTAGCTTGCTGAAGGTGTCTTATATGTAGTTCTTTTATAGCGTTTTCGCACAATTGTCTTTAGGTTTCTAGAATCGTGACCGGTTTCTGATAAAAATGTTGGTATAAAATCTATTGATATTTTTAGTTATTTTATTTATTGAAAAGATACCAGCTTTTTTTCTACAACAATAAAATGAAAATGTCGAAAAAGTAAAATAATAAAATAAATAAGCTAAGATAACTATCTAATGAAAGGTGTGTCGCACAAATTATATAACGATTATCATTATAAGTTATATCGATTGATTGTCCGTGAAGAACTAAACAATATCTTTTACACATGGGTGTATAAGATAAAAACATCACTCTCCAATTGCCAAAATGTTCAAAACATCAATAAAAAAACGATCCTTTTCAGGCACATTCTTCTGTTTTAATCTTTACGCCAATATCTTTTGATAGTTGAGATGCTAAGACATTTTTGGAAGTCGCAGGAGTATGTTGATCAGACTTGTCCATTTCTCGATACATTTGATTGACTTTTCTGAAAAGAGTGGCAATAAGCTGTGCGTGTTTTTGTCTGCGTGCTGCTTCGCCATCGGGCAAAGATATCGTAGGATAATAACTATCATTTTGTTTTTGATTTTTTGATGAGTCTCCAATTTCCATATTGGCAATTTTTTTGGATAACAAATCGACTGGATCCGGTTCTTTTCGTGTTGTCGATGTTGTTGTCTCGGTGCTAGATTCTTGCTTTTGTACTTTGAGATTTTTGAATGCACTATTACCGAATCGAGTCGACGAAGAAGGTGAAGCAGCGGTGATTTGCGAGCTAGAATCAGATTTATCCTTGTTGTAAAGGTATGGACCTTGTGTAGGGGTAGGTTTTACAATAGAAGGTTCCTTTGACGGTGGTGCATTCGTGTTCGCATTGAAGATAATTGGGACATTGCCGATGAGGTATTCCACCTTGGTCTGATTATTAATATAATCAGGCTTAATTCTCGTATTGATGTTAGGTTCATTATTGATACCCTCCGGGAAAATATTTTCTTCTGGTGGACTCATCAATCCAGAAATGTTGTTACTCGAGTATATATTTGATGACTCTTGAGATGATGTCATACTTGGTATCGTTGGATAAATAAAATCATCAGGATAATTAATAAACAGATCAGAATTTGCGAGTCCAGCCGAAGTGGCATTAGTAGGAGTACTTGACAGATTCAAACTCGGGTAGAGACTTTCAGGATTCGTCGCGAAATCGTCAATAGGTAATGTCAGTGAAGCAACATTTGGATATGCGGAGGTGGTGACATCTGTCAACAATCCAGTAGAAAAATCTCCTGCATCTGCACCAATAATCGGATCATCAAACACATTCGGATTCAAGAATTCGCCACCACATTGAGAATTCAGTGTCGCCAAGAAGGTGTTAAATTGTTGCAAGTCTTGTTTGGTACGAATTGCGGATGGAAGAGACAAGTTTTCAGTTTCTAATATAAAGTCGAGTTCGTTGAGTCTATCCGACATTTCTAAAGTGGATAGATAAAGTAGAATTGTTGAGAATGGGCATAAAATATCGAAAGATTTTATTGATAATTTTTATTTGATTTTGCTTTTGTGTTATTGTCAAAATATAAACATGTGTATTTCGCAAAAAAACTAATTTAATTCATTGATACTGATTCATCCGTTCAACCACCCAATTCACTCACGCACAAATTCATTTCATAATTCAAGGTAAATATCACACAAATTCTCACACCTTCCCTCCCTCCCCACCACGTGAACAGGATGATATAACAAAATTCATCTTTATCATCATTATTTGTTATCATCATCAGACACACAAAATTTACCTTGATTAAAGACCGGGGCTACCCGTTGTTTCTTTACATCCCAGCACAATTCATCAAGCACATCAAGTCCCCTCTTGTTTGACACTCGATTATTCGGAGGAGTAATGTCTGATAGACGATGATATCCTAACTTATTGCTGTTGGGATAGTTTCTTGGTTCAGCATCGAGACCTGGACTGAGATTATTATACTGTAAAAGCGCGACATTGTCATTAATTTCGTATTTTTCTAACGTTGGTGTTTGAAATGAATCCGATGATTGTGAATATGGTGACGAATATGCTATTATTTATATATTGGTAAATCAGTATTAAACGTTAAGGCGAATCAAATAATACAACAATAAATAAAAAGAATAAATTTAAAATAATTACCATGAACGCTATCATGATTTGAACCACTTGACGCAATACTCTGTGGCGACAACGGGTCATGATGTGGTGACGAGGCAGTAGAGTCAACAGACGAAGAACGATCTGATCGATAATATGGTGGCGTAGGAGCTTGAAGTTGTTGTTGACTTCTTTGCATGCGTTCGTTTTTGTGCATTGAGATTTGATGCTGATGTTCTTCGGTATGGATCTTTTCGTGTTTCTTTAGATCTTGAGGTCGTTTAAACGATTTTTTACATGTCTAAAATTCAGATAAAAATTTAAGTATTTATTTACCCACTAAAGCTATTTACAATTATAAGTTCAAATCAAAAATATCTCTAACCCAACCCAAAAACTACATACCTCACAAGTATGCGGTTTCAACGGGACATGCACTCTCAAATGACTAGTAATATGATCTCTTTTGGCCGTAAGGACTTCACACTTATCCCAGTGACATTCGAGACACAAGTTTCCCGTCGACTTTCTGCCCACATGGTCATTCGCTAAATGGTGATATAATATTTCGGGATCTTCAAACACTTTGAAGCATTGGTTCCAGAGACATGTCAGGATTTTTGGTTCTGTTTTCACGGATTGTAGCGGTGGTGTTAGAGACATTTGTGATGGTTTCGAGTATTTATTTTGGTTTGGTTGTTGCAAGCTAAGTTGTGTGTGATGGAAGTTGTGGCAGTAGAGGTTGTGTTTACTTGGTGTATATAAGTTTGCTGTTTGTCTAAACCAGTTTGAGTTGAAAGAAAAGTTCAGCGCCGCCTTTTTATAATTTCAGAAAATACGAATGTCAAAAATACTAAGAATTCGGTCTGTATGTAAAAAAAGGTAAAATATGTGAATAGTAACGGTAATATAATATATTTCTATTAAGGTTGATATGCACAATTATAATAATAGTATAGGAAATTATAAAAGAAAGTCTTGGCGCGCAGACATCAAGAATAAATTCTAACCTTGGCACAAAAATTATGCTTAATTTCAAATTTATTCGTGCGTTGGATGTTTGTATTTGCCAAGAAAATGGTAATGGTAAATTCTCTCAAGATACCAAGATTTTCTTTTTTGAATTCTAGAATATCATCTCAAATTTTACGCCAAGAGAAGTTCCGTGTGGCAGAATTATGCGAATCAAGTAAATTCTTGGCTTAATTGGGACAACCAAGTGTCACTTTATATACGTTTATGACGGATGAATCCAAGCGAGATTGCAGGCGGATTATGCAAAATGCTACTAGCCACATTGAACAGGCTCATCATAACAATCAAGTAGTTGCTACGTATTTCTGTATGAATTGTATTGTTGCTGTGGCGATTATTAAGTATTATTAGTTTGAACAAACTACACAGCCACACGCAAAACGATACATGAATTTCGAGTTTTACGTTTTACTTTATTTTACGAGTGAATTACAATAATCGAAAATATTAACGTTAGTACCAGTGATACAATATCTTGTACATAATAGTAACGGTAATAACAATAATAATACAGAAAAACTATACTACGCAAAAAATAGAATTCAAAAAATAAATAAAGTCTAAAAATTCACTAGTGAGATTGGAAATACTAACGCTTAACAGAATCATCAGCTGTGGCTAAGGTCCATAACCGATCAATTTTCTCATCTAACCAATCAGTAAACCTTAATCCGTTTATCCATTCCTTTGGCAACTTCTTGTATCCAATCCTGGCGCCAAGCAAAGCACCAGCTACAGCTCCATTAGTATCAGCATCCCTATATGTAATTCATCATCATTATGATCGAATCTTATTCTTTTTAGATGAAACTCATAAGAATATTAAAAATTACCCAGCTTCCAAGGTTAATTCTGTAATAATTCTTTTGAAGGCATCTCCTTCGCTTGAGTGACCACTCAAATCCCTAGTAAAACAATATAAGGCAGAGCCAAGACACTTGTACACGTATCCCAATGACGATGGTTCATCGAGCTTTAGAGCGGACAATGACGCAGGGAAACAATGCGTAAGTAACGGCTCGACGCCAGTATTCGCTTCAAGTTTCGTGAAAATTCGTTTTGATTTTAATGTTCTGTTGTCGGTTGACACATCATTTTCAGTTTTCATTTGAACTTCAAGCATAAACTTGTACCGATTTACGACATTCTGCGCTAACAATAATAATTTTGGATCTGCGCCAAAAGTATCCATGCTTGCAGGTGGATCATCAGGAATTGTGACATCAGGTCGCGATTTTGATGATTGCTGTTGCTGTTTCTTCAAAGTTTTTCGAATCCATTCGGATGGATCGGAAGAACTTCCTCCGCCCATAAATTTACTTACTCGATTGAGTGTTTTGCTAATGACATTCTTTTTCGATGTTTCTGGAGGATCTTCCATATCAATATTCTCTTCGGGTTTATTAGCCGGCTTCCCTGATTTCATCCATTTGGCAATTGTTTCTTTCGTCGAGTGATCCAGCTCTACATCACCTTGTGATACAAAATCATCGCCTTGTAACAGCCTCGAAATTAAGACAGTGACAATGACACTAGAGACGCAACATCTTGGATCAGCGTGGGTGACTTTTGTCGCTTGTAGCGTTTGTTTGACTACTTTCATTTCATCCTTATAATTCGGGAACCCCAAAATAGCAGTTCGCATTAATGCCCCATTCGCAGCTAAATTACAGTCATAATTCTCCCAGACATCCCACGCGGCCCTGTGTGGTGTCGATATAAACAATGAATGCTTTAAAACTGAGCCAACGGTGAGTCCTATTCCGAAAGGAGGTTTATTTTCTAATTCGGGAAACCCTCGCTCGGCCCATTGACGTAATCTTTTGGCAAAATCACGCGTGTTGAATATGCCATTTAGGGAAAGTAATGATTGGACTATGAGAAGCTGTTGGTCTAAATCCAACACCATATGACGATTAATAATAATGATTAATGTGAATTAATAGTCGCGGATATTCCAATTCCGATTTGTTTTTAACTAAAAATTATGTACAAGTTAAAATGGGTTAAACAAACACCTGTATCATCAGTCCAGTCACCCGATTCCCAACGGCCTCTATGCGTGTCACGTACTATTTCGTAACCTTTTTCAGTCCCAAAGGCTATAGGCCCAACACCATAGAACGTTCTAGCTTGCTCTTTAGATAGAAATTCGGTCGCAAGCCCTACTGCATCTCCAAGTGCAGCACCTTTTCGTTTTTTTACAAGTTAAACTTAATTCTTCAAATTATCATTTGTTTGTTAAAAAAATGAAGTCAGACAAACACCGTAAATGCAGCCCTTAAGCTTATCATAGATTTGTTCTTTGGAAAGAGTGGAAGACGTTGTATCCATGTTTACTTTTTAAATGAGCATAATTGGCTAGTGTTGTTGTAGGCATATACAGTGGCCGTCATATGTTTAATAATGGTAATATCTCGTGATTTTACACGTTATTGACATGTGCAAACTAGAAGTTCCTTAAAATTCATTTAATTACTGCTTTTGGAAATAAATTAACATATAATTTACAAAAGTGTAATATTTCAGTGATGCGTTTTTTTTGACTGTTTGTTCGTTCATATAACATTTCCAAATTTTATAACAAAACACAACTCGAATAATATATAAAAGTTATATCTATTAGTATAGTTTTTTTTAATAAACATATCGTTAAATCAATGTGGGTCGTATCACTATTGAACAAAGATCACGAATTTCTGCCCTTTTTCAAGAAGGATTCTCTTCCCGTTATATCGCATCAAAAGAAAATATTGCGCAATATGATATACAGTGGCTCACACATGTAACGGAACACGAAAATTAACTTTCTAGCATTTTTATTTCCGACAAATAAAAAAAGTGTTCATTTGAAACCCTGAAACCTCTAATATTTTTTAAAAAAAATTTGACAACAGATTATTTTGTGAAATAGAGTGATTTAAATCAAAATTTACAATTAGTAAATTCCTCACATTGAAGAACTTTTTTTCTATGACAGATCCAAATTTGGACCACTAATTAAAAATGTTCTACTCTATGAAATCTACCTATTTACCAATTTTCATAAAAATTGGCACAAAATTCACCGAGATTTAAGACTCCGAAGGACCGAATCTATGTTACGAACATTAATTCATGTATTAATGCTCCTAGCATAGATTCGGTCTTTAGGATCTTAAATATCTATAAAAATTAAGCCGATTTTTATGAAAATTGGTAAATAGGTAGATTTCATTAGTGGTCCAAATTTGAATCCGTCAATGTGAGAAATTTACCAATTGTAAATTTTGATTTAAATCAAATTATTTTAAAAGATATTTGTGGTTTCAAGGTTTCAAAAATGAACACTTTTTTATTTTGTTCGAACTAATAGTCATGGAAATAAAAATTCTATAAAGTTAATTTTCGTGTTCATTTACATGTGTGAGCCACTGTATAACTAATTTGCAGAGTGGTTGGCTTTTCTTCACCAGAGCATAATGGTTCTCGTAAAATATTATAACAACTGCTATGGATGTGATCACATACATAAAAAGGCTCATATATGTAAAATTAAAACTCCACAATTGATCAAATAAATCAGAAAAATATGCCAAAATCTGCACATATATATAATAAATTTATATATTCAAATCATACAATTTATCATAAGCATTTATTGTTTTAATGAATATTAACTTTTTATTTATTTTTTACCTCCCTTGCCGCTAATAATACTTATATAATAAATGGTATCATCATTTATCAGATTACTTATGTTAAAAATATTAAAATATCAGAATCACAGCTAATTATAAATAAATAAAATAAACTTATATTTTATTCTGCAATTCGATTCATTCAGTTCATAGACACTCTTATTTATTGCCAAATATTTAATTATATTAACAATACTTATTTTCATTTTGCATTTATATCGATTAAAATTCACATTATTTCCGAATTAAAACCATAAGCCACTTCACCCTTTACCAAACATTAAAATGAACTCTCTAATACGACATCGAACAACTCCAAGCCAAGTTCAATATTTGGAGCAATTTTTTGAGCACGATGATTTCCCAGATGGCCCAACACGAGAACGAATTGCACAAACGTTAAAAATGCCAAGCAAAAGTGTTCATATTTGGTAAAAATTAACTAATTAATCATTTCGTAATCTTGATTTTCTCTGCGATTTTCATTCAATACATTTAAATTAAATTGTCAATAATAAATATAAAGGTTTCAAAATCGTCGTGCTAAACGTAAACAAGAAGAAAGAACTCGTCAGGAAAGACTGACTTATGGATTTATAGAATCAGGCTCATCTAACTTGAATCGGACAGATTTGGAATCGTTTTCGTCTAAAGATGATTCTTCTGAGCATTCTTGTGCATCATTTCATCGATCTTTTTTTTCAAAATACAGAGAAAATACGATGGCAGAATCCACCATTTCAACTTTTGATAGTAATAATAATCAAATCCCTACTTTGCATCTCCCTTCTCTTCACTATCATCACCAGCATCGTCATCATCAACCTTATTCTCGTCCCATTACTCTTGCACCAATCAAAGATAAAGCTAAAGATGAAAGAGTGCGTCTTCCTCCAATTGATCACATAATCCCAAAAGGTCTTTTGGATGCTCCAACTGCAGTAGCTAATCGCAATTCTGGTACCATGAAACCAGAATATAGTAAAAATAGCTCGAAACCTTTGCAAAGTGTTCATCATCAAAGTACCTTTATTAATCCGTTTTTATCCGATAAAGACAGAAATAACGATAGCACAACAGCAATTATAAAGCCAATTCCAAGATCGTCTCCACTCACCGAATCAACCCTTACAGCAATTAATGCTAATTCTAATCATCATCATCCTCATATTTCTCTTTCACCACTAAGTAATATATTATCGTCGAACAGCGAGAAAACTATTGTTGGAGATTCCGAAGATGGAAATGGCATAAAGAAAGAGGCTCAAAAACGAAATAAGAATATGGATATTGCATCATTGTTGTGTTGAATCTGTAAGAATATTGTGAGGGTAAATATTAAGCGTACTTTTTACTATCAAGAATTAATAGGTACCAGACAGATAGATAAATAAATAAATAATAAATAACGCATTGTGTATAATAATAGTAGAGTTATGTGTAGCTTAAAAATTACATGTAACTTGCTTGGTAGATAATTAAATTATTCCGTTTTATATTATATATAGCAAGTCTCCAAATTTCAAGTTTATACGCATTTTATTATCAAACTTATAGAATAAATTCAACATTTCTGTAAACTAACGATAAGAGTAATGATAATAATGCTATAGAAAGAGAAAGCGTATGTTCAAATCAAACGGATTTTCTCGTCGATATCAATACAAAAGAGACCATCTATGATAGACAAAACAACTCGACAAATTTCATAGAAAGTTCATTATACTGCACTCAAAACACTTTGAATTCACTTTTTTTTTCGATCACTGTATTTTTAAAAAACCAAACATATAGCATATTGCCGTATTTTTCGGCAATTAGTTCCCCTTGATAAAATATCCCTCTGATAAAGTATCCTGGTACTAATCTCGGTTACAAGTTGAGTAGAATGTAAAGTAACCCCCCCCCTTTAATAATCCTGAAATTAGCATTATTCAGGCCAAAACTAGTGTAATCCGGGCCAAAATTACGGTTTTCCATGTTAAGTATCCACCGTATAATATACCCTCCTCTTCACAAAGTACCCGGTGGGTACAAATCAATTTTTGAGCCCCTAGAATGTAAGAGACCCGGGGTACTAATTGCCGAAAAATACGGTACATTTCGCCAGATGTTGAAACGAAATATTTTATAATAATTTCAACATCAGTGGAAAGACGCAGCAAATTATTACGACGTAAAAGTAGAAGAGGGTTATTAGAAATCGAGACATTACTTGAACATTGATGTTTTTCGTTTTTAGTTTGGTTGAAAAATATTTTTCTCCCTCAACTCCCAATAAATAATAGACGAATTTTTTATTTATATACCGATTTTTAATAGGTAAATGCTCAAGAGGGCGATTTCTATGAGGCTGGATAACTTCAGATATTTAATGATGGTGAGTATGGGTTAAAAGGATTAACAACTTTTTTTCGTCACATGTTATTTTATTTTTAATTCTAGAATTTTTCCATGCAAATTAATTCATTAAATTAATTAAATTAATTACATCATATCATTGTTACACCTAGACTCTAAATTTGTGACTATAAAGGGATTGTGACTAAAATTATCATTATCGTTAATAGGTAGGTGTGACTAAAGAGAAGTTTTATTTCCGATATGCATTATTATTATGATTAACAAAGTGGGCACGGACTCATCGGGTATTTCCAAGTACGTTGTATTGCGTCATTTTTTATTACAACAGAAATATTTATTTTAATTTCTAGGATTAACTAGAAAATTCGTCTATTGATGCACGTTTGCATCTTTTTGTTCGCATTTATGTGATAACGTAAACTTAAAAATGAAACGATTTATGCATTTGTCAATTATTTGATTAGGAAAAATTCATTCAAGGTAACAAAGAAAAAAAATGACGCAAAGATGCATAACACCATAAAACACGAATTGCGCAATAGAAGACATAAATCTTGAACAATGAAGTTATTAAGTATTCTTTCATAGAGTTCCGAGAATAAAGACGGAATAAATATTTGCCAAAAGAGCTCAAGATTATAAAGGTTACCGTAATAAAAATCTATTAGTGATTTAGTTAATAAATTATCTTTATGTATTTAAAGTTAAACTTTGTTACGTCAGGTACAGCTTGACCTTTTGATCTAGACACAGATCTCTATTTAAGACTTCTTTTAACCAAAACTTAATCTCGAACATTGCCATCTGCTCTTAATTGTAAACTTCTATTGTTTGTTTTCAAGTTCTGGAATTATCTTTATTAAGTACAAATGCTTGAGATCTCGAACATCTACATGTATGCAAGAGTTCTCGGCTTGTTCTCGGTTTCATCTGCGCTACCTTCAGATGCAGTCTAGAAGCAAAACTTATATATTCGGTAAATATACTAATTAACACGTTATTAACTCGGGTGAAAGAACGCCATTTATTCATATACATGTATGGGCCTTTCCTTTACAGAAAAAAGACATTTATTTGTGAAATGGTACATGGTACAAATATAGAAATTTCTATCTTTTTCAGATGATCTTTTTGGTTAGTATATTAAAGTTATTGATTTATTTCTGTTCCCGTGATTGTATTTTATTCTTTCTAAATTTGGCTGTTTTAAAGAATATACAGTTAAAACGAACTTTCAGGAACCAACCTATTAACAAAGAGCTTGACATAACAAATAATAATATAAATTGGTACTTTATAACGTTAAGCGAAGTTTATTTGTGAATAACCCGAGGCCTTTGGTTTATCGAACTTTAACTGTACAGTCAACTCTTTCTATAACGAACTGATGGTTCTGTTAGTAAAAAAAAAGTTCGTTATATAAAATCACTATGTTTTCTATAGAGCCCACTACTCTTTCTACAGAGCCCACTACTCTTTCAATAACGAACTAATATAAAATAAAATTTAAGGTTTGTTATATCCAGAGTTCGTTATAGAGAGTCGACTGTATTATGTAATTTCGTTGTTTTACATTGACCCCTGCATATTATACATTATACATGACGCAAGGGATTAATTTTGACAACATTATCAATAAGTGAATACAAATGCGAATAGCTTAATTAACTCAATATACAGTGAACCTCAATATAACGTTCCACTTCAAAATATTCGTTATATCGAGAACCTCAATCCGCTATGTCAAGCTTTTATTTATGGTAGTTTATTGAATAACGATCACTTGGATATTGTAAATACTAAGTATTTATTTGAACCTTGGTGACGCCATTTTGAATGCGTTGATCTGCTCGGGACCCAAAGAAATAACGTTTTGAAGAAAGGAAGAACGCGTGAATTAGGTTTCTTTGGTGATCCCGAAATCAATAACTCAATTCGTTTTCTCATATTAATTAGTTTTCTCGAAAAACTTCTTACATGCTTAATCGATTACAGTTAACCTCACATATAGTCACTTCCCTTATAAGCACATCATATAAAAACACCTCCACAAGCACAACCTCTTTATAAACTCATTTTTTAAAAAAGCACTAAGCGATCGAGAGCGTGACTATCGGGGAGGTTGACTGTAGAAAAGAATCTAGCAGAAAAGCTAAGCTTACAGAGCTTCAAACTAGAGTGATACTTTTAAAATATGCAATTTACGCGTACAAGATTGCCAGATTGCTTTGTAAAGCAAGCTTGATCTCTCAAGAAAGAGCTGTTCGAAATTTTTTTCCTTTTCTAATTTTCTAACGCCATTTTTAATACGATTGTCTTTATGATCGTGAATTTGGTAATACTATCACGATCCAAGAAACCCGCTTACTCACGTGCGAATGGCACCCATTCATTCAGAAAATAAATACCAGCAACTGAAGTTTAAAAATAAAGCGTTTTTCGAAATGGTCATTTTGGCATATTAATAGAGCAGTATGCATCTAACCTTGTTTAGTTCCTGATAAGAAATTAAACATTGGTAAGGATTCTTCATTACAGAGAAAATCCTTGATGATGTAACTAACCTTATATGTAAGATATTCCGTTCATGTTACATAAGTATTTTTGATTTCTCTGTCGAGACTCTTTTATCTACAAAGACACTAATCTTTAACGCGTTAGTCTTGTAAATAGTAAAAACAAGTTTCAAATAAAAAGGCAATAACTATGTATATTTTCTTGGATGTCTATCGACAAATAGCATTCGACCATTGTTTTATCCGAAAAATCCATGTATGTAACATTCAATCGTGATTTTATCCGAAAATACTGGTGCGACAAAAACAATGAATTCCAAATATATTCATCATTGGATCATATAAGCATCAAAGCTACTAACTTGATTTATCAAATAATAGGTTCATATTGACGATCTCGAATCGATCATGGCTATGACTGGTCACGAATCATCATCGTCAACGGCGTGGGATGTGGATGTGGGGGAGAAGTACAACATCATTGATCAAAGTTTCAAACTATAATTACTTATTTATTTGACTCGGGAACAAAGCTTGTGACCAACATTATGGCCTCCACTCACTTTCCACATGCATCGTTCAACATCAAAATCATAAAAAAATGGCAAAAGATTACGATAGATCTCCCTTACGGAAAAATATGAACAACATTTACGGAATACAGATATTATAAAAACTGCATCCTAATTTGTCTAGGTTTCTTAATGATGATCTTGTTATATTAGTAATTAATTGTGACCATAACATGAATGGCAACAATGACGTAAAGGAACACAAGATACATACGTATAGTATACGCGGAAGATCACCAAAAAGGAATAGGTCCCCAAATATGTACAATTACATCATCATTTACTGTGCTCATGATGATGTAGTTATGTAATAATATTAATATTATTTTATTATTCATATTTCATATCAATATTCGGTTTGATTTAGCAGTTGGTTACCATCGTTGCGTAATTTTTGATTTGATATAATTTTTTATTTTCTATCACTGTGTAAAATACAAATTACGCAATACGTACTGCTATTATCATAGATTTCTTTATTGTTGTTGTCACATATTCGCATTTATAATTTATTTTCAAGTGTATTTATTGGCTAATTTTAATAAATATTCATGTTCAATGACGTCGTTAGCTTTTATCTTTTCAGAGTAATTGTTCTGAATCTCCTTGTTATTGGATCGGGATTTTTATGATCTCATTACTTTTTGTGTAGCTATTGTGTGGCATGTTAATGTATAAATATGTTCTAATTTGTATCTTCGAATTGATAATAACAAATCTAATCCCTGAATTTTCATTTACAATTATTCCCATTTATTTATCCTCTATTTACTGTTCATGTATACGGTAGTATTGTGTTTTGCATTATTATTATTATTATTTAATTTTGCTATAGTGTAGTATTGTACATTATTATTATTATTATTATTATTATTATTATTATTATTATTATTATTATTATTATTATTATTATTATTATTATTATTGTTATTATGTTTCAGTTTTTTGTCGTCGTCTTTAATTTATATTATTCGTCTAATTGGATAATAAAATAATAAAATAAGCAATCAAATCAACGAAATACTGCGTTAAATCCAAATAATGATTGAGGGATTAATTGGGATATCAGACTTTCTTATAAGTATAATTAAGGATTGAGGATCGCATGGTTCATAACAACGAAAAATACTATATATATATATATGTATATGTATAGATAGATAGATAGATATATATATATATATTGTCTTAAATTTCAAGATTCAACTTGCACGACCAACAATTCCAATCCAGACATCCAGCCATCTTACCCTACATACACAAGGTTCTGGGGGTGGGAGATGGTGATGTTTTTCCTTTCCCATTCAATCATATTGAGCAGCGATTTTATGAGTCGACCGATGACAATTAAAGATGTTTTTGGGGTTAAACGAAACTGGTTTATATTTTTTTTTATGTAGTAGCAAACATTTTTACAAGAAAACCTGCTTAACCACGTTTAGTAACTTTACCAATCAAATATCCAACCAAGTATACATTCATTCCCTGATCGTTATGTTTCGTTAAATTCTTGTGCACTGTTCCCTAAAAAGTACATAAGAAAGGCCATAATAAAGCGAGTGTCGCTGATTGAGATTTGGTAAAAACTTGGACATATATATTACGATCAAAAGCAGGATTCAATTCTTGTTGGATTTGTTTTGTTACTAAAATCGATGCTAACCTGTTTTCATTCACCAAGTTCGTAGTGGTATAGCAATCATTTTTAAAAAACTTCCCATTTATTTTCCTATCCATTTAGCATGCATACATGTCATTTACTACTGCTACTCACGATCACATAAATAATAAAAAACAGTTTGGTCTTGTTCATACATTCTGTGATAACAACAATAATATACGTAATGTGTAATGTACCAACCAACAGATCGAGACGGAAAAGACGGGGCATAATTCATCTATCTAAACTAAGTATTGCGGATAAGTTATCGTTCCTATAATATATCCATACGCGAGCATTACGCGTATAAACTCTACCTTTATTCTTTATAGAATACAATACTATTTTACCGATTAATTTCGTTATTCTCAATAGTGCATATATGAAGAATAAAACAAAATGTAAAAATTATTATTATTAATTTCTGTTTCTACGTGTCTCTGTTGTTGCAATATGACGTTATTCGGCTTTTATGTGTACCAGCGGCATTCATTCATTTTACACAAACACGCATACAGACAGACAGTCAGCGCATTACAAAGGATGTTTTGCAAAAAAAACTCATTCTAAATTACACAATGAGGAGCGAGTGGTACATGCATACACAGCTGATATAGCACATAAATATATAAAATTTAAACCCATGACACGCGTAAATTTTGATTTCCAATCAATCCATAAAGTTGGTTCAAAACGCGTCATTTCGAATGTATTTTATTATTTACATGGCTTTTCTTTTGAATCAAACATACGATATTCATCACCGAACACTCGATTAAGGCGAAACACCCATGCAACATGTTTACGTGTATACTTTGTTGCTGAGGCAGTGTCATGAATTTTGGGCTTTGAATTGTTCCTGTTTTAATTGAATTACACATTTGGCTAAGTCGCCCTACTTTTTCCGGTCGTCACTTTATACATAAAAAAGATTAGATCAGAGAATCAATTCGCGTTCCTTCTCTTCTCGTGTTAAGATCCAACAACAATTCAGCACTAGATCAAGTAAATGTCACATATACACAAAAGAACGGAAAATCAAAAGATCTACTACATGTAGAAAGAAGCAAAGATCTTGCTTGACGCGAGACTTGTATGACGACAGATTTTTTTACAGGTCACTTCAATGATGATTATTCCAAGCAAAATACTATTGAACAGCCTTTTGTCAATCGTCTCCATTCTTTAATTCTTTAATATCGATAGTCGCATTAATGATGTCATAGATGACAAGCGAAAACGCGTCGTCCTCTTTGATTGTTTTCGTCGCGTTATTTTTTGCTTTTACGTGTATATGCTCATGTATTATGTATGTAGGCACCTATGCATTTTGAATCATATCTCTATTATATCTATCGTTATGTTATGTTAATACTGTCTTGGTTTATCCTTGTTTAGCATTAACGCAATCAACCCCTGTTTCTTTCCACCTTTATATCACTCACACGAGCTAAATTAACTAACTAATCATACGCTTGATCCATTAACTATTGAACATTGAATGCAGTAAAGCTTAATGTCAGCTCTTAATTATTCTCCTAAACCCTCAAATATTATAAGAATATGCATAATGATGAAATAACAATCCAAATAAATATTCAATTTTCAAGCCGTGAATTGAAGTTACATTTAAAGTTGAATAATTTGCATAATTTAAAATACGAATATCATTCCTAACGCCAAAATTAGTATACCATCATTTGTTAATATAAAATCTTAAATGTATAAATAAAAAATTACAATATAAAAAATTACAATATAAAAAATTACAAAATAAATAAAATATGGTGTATAAAAAGAATGGTAGTATAGTAATTTTTAAAAAAGGGAGATTTACCACCACCGCACCATACCATCCACACACAAAACCATCCACACACAAAAAACCATCCACATCCGCAAAAAAACTCCAGCCGAATCTCAGAAACTTTACGTGCACACACGCACAACGCAAAATACAGATACTCTAAATATTACAATTTCGTTGTCTAAATTTTTTTATTACTATTATTACTATTATTATTACAGGCAGAGACTGTACAATATCTATTCTCTATTAACCTATTACCTATTACTACCACACTATCGTTATATCCCTCTTCTTCCTTTTCCTCCTTTCGACTTCCAACATTGATAATAAAATCACCAAATGTATATCTATTACGACTACTACTCACTAGTCAAAGAATAATACAAAAGAGTGTGTTGCTCGTTCACAATAATAGCAGCTTCGACAACAAACAAACACAATCGTCAATCAAAACTTAAAAAAAGTGGTGATAGTAGTAATAATAAATTTGAACAGGAAAAAACATAAAATATATAGACCAGAGCAATCCTACATGTCAAAAGAAAAAAAAGAGCGAACTAAAAAGAGTTAAAACTCGGGAAAAAATAATTTTTATTAAAGCAAGCAGCATTTTTTGAAGCGCTCTTATTATTTATTATAAAAACACAATTACACGCGCGTTCTTTAACTTTCTGCGGATAAACAGTTGAAACTGGACGAACAAGAGGGAACGACGACGATTCGCGACACAAATACTAATATCACAAACTCCAGCGACTTCATTATAAATACAGCCTTTCTATCCACCACTGATATCAATACAAAGTCAGACTATCAAAACAAGTCAAAACTTATTCGCTGGTATTTTTATTTTTATTTATTCCGTTGTAATTTCTATTCTACGCACGTGACATTTATTATTAGTTGAATCGGGGTTTAAGTAGTGGGGGGAGAATTACGTATTTTCGAGCTAGTATCAAGCGGCGCGGTTGAATTTTTTTATTCGAGGATAAAATTGTTATTATTATTAGTCTCTTCTTTTCAATATGATGATGATGATTTGTTTATATATTATCACGTCACGTACCATGATTTTTTCAATATCAATCAATCAACTCTTCGTTCAAGTTAATTCACATTTTTATTTTCACCTCATTTCATTCTCGTATTTCACAGGAAAGAAAACATAAAAAGAGATTTATTCTCAAAGAAAAAATTGTACAATATTAATAATCGTAAAAGCAAACGCGACATCACAAACGACGACGACGACGACGACGACGAATACAATAGCAACAACAAAAACAACAATAATAACAACAATAGTAATAATAGTCATTGTATTAATAATACTGTGATTATTTTGCCCAACAACACGACAATACCAAAAAGCAACAGTAATAATAACATTAACATTAACAGTACTTGTAATATTTCTGACGCAGACACTCTTATTGTTTCTTCGTCAACATCTGTTGTTGCTGCTGCTGTTATCATCAATTCTGTTGATAATACTCGACAACAACATCAACCAACATTCGAACAAAATATGAAACCGACTCAGTTTGTATTGCATATACCGCCTACAACATCACACACTACAATAACAACTTCCTATTCAAATCATCATCATCACCAAGAGTTTTCACATAATTACAATCATACTTCACAACAGCAACAACAAACGCAAGCTCCCGGGCAGGAACATCATAGTAATCATCAGCAGCCATTTGTAGAATCATCGCAACAACCATCGTCGGATACACCGACTAAAATATTACCAGTGTGGGAACAAAAATCAAGATCTCTGTTGATAAGAAATACAAATACAAATAGATATAATAAAAATAATAATGCGAATAGTCGCAATTCTATCTTAATTGAGAAACCACAACAGGAACATAGTAATTCCGAACAAGTATATCAAAAACAATTACAACGTCAGCAACAGCAACAATTAGTGTCAAAAGATCAACAGCAAAAGGAACCACAATCAAAAGCATCTTCAGAATCCCATATTTCACAAAAGACCGTTGAAACAATAGATCAGGATCAACGGATAAAGGAACAACAAAAGCAAGGAAAAAATACACCGATCCATATTAATAATATTATTAATATTAATAATAATTATTATTATTTTGATCAAACTCCTAATGACCAACAGGATTATCAAAATCTTGTACAACCGCAGCCAGAATCACAACAACCACAGCAACTACCTTCCCAACAGGTTCCACCGCAGCAATCACAAAATTTTCCCTCTCCAAATTTGTACAGAATTTCACTACAATTAACAACAGAATTAGATATTCGAAAATGGTGGGATAATGTAATTGAGACCTTTACCACTTCTTTTCATGCATCACGAATTTTACTATCCGTTCCTCATGATCTTACAGACACGATAAACACTCCTTGGGGTGTAAAGGCAATATACAATCGAGATAGTCATAGTAATGGTGGAGGGAATGCTGGCCATTCGGATAATATAACAGATTCTGCTTCAAATTCCTCGAATGATCATGGTCATTTAGTATTTGATAAGCTAAGGTCATTTGAATGCGATATTGAACCACTGTTGGACAATAAAGGCATTCTGAGAATTTTACATCGCGGGAAAATTATTGTTGTTTCCAGAGAATATCGGCAGCCGGAAGAAGAGAATAAACTTTGGAATTCAACAATTTCCCCTCAGAAGCAGCAAGAAGAGGAAATGGGCGCGGCATTCCCAATAAGTAGAGGGCCTAGTGGTGATAGAGGTGGAGGAGGTGGTGGAGGTGGTGGGGATGGTGTTGGAGGTGGTGGTGTTGGTAGTGGCAATGGAAGAGTTGAGAATGGTGTTTCCCCGTTAAAGAATAATAATAATATGGGAGAAACAACAAAACTAATAACATTGACACCCACGGCTAACACCACAACTAATGCAACAACAATAAATTCAAATGACATTCAATATAATCTTTCCAATTATAATAACCATCACCACCATCATCGTCATAGTCACAATAAGCATCGTCGGAATAAATCTGATGGTTCTATAACTTCTATAATATCAAGCTCGATATCCTCGTCGTGGCCTCGAGTGCTAGACACTCCATGTCTGATTGATTTAGAAGAAGGTCACAATAGTTATTTTGCATATGAAAAAAATAATATGCATAATCATATGAAAAGTCATCATAATAATCATTATTATCATGGGGAAACGCAACAACAACAACAACAACAACAATGTGACTATGAGGAATTTGAGCAACAACAGCCATCACCTTGGTCACAATCACCTGCTCCTTCACCGGTTGTTACCGATCCAAACATTAATCCGTTTTTTCAATCAATGCCCGTGATAGATGACGAAGCATTTAATCCGTCATCCGCTTCCCCATTAACTCATGCCTCCTCGAATTTCACTTTTCCAGTAGGCACAAACAATAATGTCTACTCAATTGTGCATATTCCTTTAATACATCCAACCACCGCAAAAAATGTTGCACCCACAAATGCACTACATTCTCCGGTTCCAATTGCGATTCTCTCATTTCTTTCATGTGTCGTTCCGTACCCATCAAATCTTTTACGTTCATTGCACGCACTTTCGCCTTACCTCGCCACCACATTCTCGATGGCTACGATACATCAACAAACTGTCAAAGATCTTTCTTTGCGCATCTCGTATCCACGCGCCGGAAGAAGACAACAACGTCATAGTAATAATAGTCATACCCATCAAACACATTCATTAGATCGAATTGAATATGTAGATAGCGTTTCATCTGATGAGTATTCCACGACTTCCTCCTCTTCATCACGTTGGGAATATGCCACTGTATTTTCAACACGTTTCGGTCAAAGTCCCGGAACCGATAAGGAAGATCCTTTTAGTCGTAATTCCGTTTCAGATGATGAAAATTACGATGACGATGTTCAAATAGTTAATGAAAATGATTTTATGAATTCTACCGAAGAATCATCTTTGATAACTGATAATTCATCAAAAGCTACCCAAACCGTTGCGAGTTCTTCTTCACTCAATCGAGAAAGAAAACCTCGTAGAGTTTCATTAGCACGATATCATTCAAGTCATCGACGTAATAGGAAATCAAGACGTTCTTCAAAGACAAACTCTGTTAATAACCAATTCGGTTCTTCTTCACACAATACCGTTCCGCAATTAGTTGTACCAAACACAAAATTGCTTCGATTAATACTTGATGTAATGCCAAATGCTGTATATACGTGTTCTCGAATAAGTGGCGACTGCACTTGGGTGAATAATCGTATGATTCAATATTGTGGCAATCGAATTGAAGATATGTTGGGTTACGGATTGTTTGATACTATACATCCGGATGATAAATCGCGTGTCTGGGAAATGTGGACTACGGCATTTTCACGAGGTGAAGGTTTTAGTGCACAATATCGAATACGTAGATTCGATGGACATTATCGCTGGTTCTTGGGACGTGCTGGACCTTTGAGAGATGCAAGAGGTATTGTGATACATTGGTTTGGAACTTGCACTGACGTTCACGATCAAAAACAAGCTGAAGAACAGCAAGCCCGTCAACTGCATGTTGAGGCAAACGAAAAGAAATACCGACAACTGGCCGAAGCAATACCACAAATTGTGTTTACTGCAACGCCTAAAGACGGGATAACCTATGTAAATGAGAAATGGACTACATATTCTGGACTGACATTTGAACAATCACAGGGTCTAGGATTCTTATCTCATGTACATTCTGACGATCGAAGTAAATGTATACTACCGGATGCTGAATCAGATGATGATAGTCATGGGGAAGTGAGACATCAAGAAGAAGTGAGATTAATGAGTTCTGATGGTACATATAAATGGTTCTTGGTTAAATGTATAAGCATCGAATCTTCCGAGCAAGGCAGAAAATGGTTCGGCACTTGGTAAGAACTATATTGAATACCGTTTGCTTTATATAATTAAATTTTTTTTAATATTCAATTTGTTTGTTATTCATGGAAAATTAATATTAATTAGCACCGATATCAATGATCATAAATTATTGGAACATAAATTAAAAGAGGCACACGATGCAGCTCAAAAATCGACTGAAAGCAAAACACGCTTCTTATCAAACATGTCACATGAAATAAGAACTCCGTTAATTGGTATCACTGGGATGATCAATTTCATGCTGGACACTCATTTGACAGTCGAGCAACTTGATTACGCGCACACAATACAACAGTCTGCTGATGCTCTGTTGTTGGTAATAAATGACATTCTTGATCTTAGTAAAGTAGAAGCAGGGATGATGAAACTGGAGATGGAACCATTTTCAGTGCACACAATGATTGAAGACGCTAATGAATTACTTTCGACACTGGCAATACAAAAAGGTCTAGAATTGAGCTTCATAGTGGATGACGATGTGCCAGATGTGATTTGTGGAGATCGCATTCGGCTAAGACAAGTTTTGCTGAATGTCATCGGGGTATTATTAGTTTTATGTGATATTATTGTTAATGAATGGGATGAAGATATTAATTTTTATTTCATTGATTTTATTAGAATGCCATTAAATTTACATCCGATGGTGAAGTTTTCTCACGATGTTCTGTTCAGCAATTAGATTCTGACAATCGAGTTGTGGATCTTTTGTTTGAAGTTGTGGACACTGGTCCAGGTTTTGATGCAGAAGAAGAACTGGTAATGTTTAAACCGTTCTCACAAGTAGACACTTCATCCACGCGAAAATATGGCGGTAGTGGGCTTGGTCTTGTAATATCGCGACAATTGATCGAATTACATGGTGGTAAAATGTATTGTAAAAGTCGAAAAGGAGAAGGATCAGTTTTTTACTTTTCAGCTAGATTTAATGTTCCGAATGATTCGACAAGTCCTCGACCTCAAACACCGACTTCTGAAGTATCGAATTCGCCTTTTTTCCGATATAGTAAAGCTTCAGTAGAATCATCTGCCTATGCTAATAAAGGGGTTCATAACGGATCCGTACACAATGAACCTTCGTCATCTAATTCTACGGCTTCAATGTTTAGCAGTTATTCATTTCCGATCTCACCACATGACTTAGGCAGTAATAGTTCTGGTAATGGTCGTTCCACCTCGCCTTATCCCATTACACCCAAACCATCAGTGTCAGCTTCAGAAAATGACGGATCAACTATTCCAATGTCCCCACCTAATTCATCGAGGCCAATTACACCCACAAGTGGAAGTGGCTCACGACCCGCAACTCCGATAAAACCCCGCAAACCGATATATATTGATTTGCCACGACCAGCTTGTGTTCTAATAATAGCCGAACTACCACATGCCAGAAAGACATTAGAACATTATGTTCGTTCAATTCTACCTAAAACCCCTGTCCCCGAAATAGACATTTCTTTTGATTACACAGATGCAATCGAAATATTATCACAGTCAGATGTAAAACAATATACTCATGTATTTATTAATCTTTACTCGCAACCTGATATAATCTCACTTGCTGCCATCATCAAAAATTTACCGAGTCTTACGCAGACAGTTGCCGTAATATTGACGACTCCGATACAACGAGCCGGTGTAATGGAGGGTGCACAAAATGATTTGCCATCTAGAGTTGATTTCATTTTCAAGCCTCTTAATCGAAGTAAGATGGAAGGTTTGTTTGATGATACCACCACAGTTCGCGAAAATTTCCTAAAACGACGAAACACTCATCAAATTGTCGCCAGTCAAAAAGAAATATTTAAGCGTATGGCTGAGGATGTTGGTGGTCGGGGTCTAAGAGTCTTATTGGTCGAAGATAATTTCGTGAATCAAAAAGGTAATTATTATTTAATTAAATCTTGTATTTTTCGTGGATCTATGAATTAACATTGGTTTTAATTTGTATAGTTATTATACGATATTTGACCAAAGTAGGGCTCGAAGTGACCGTGGCAAATAATGGCGTACAGTGTTTAGAGACATTCTACTCGCATCCTCCGGATTATTTCTCCTTGATTTTGGTAAATTTATCTTTTTCATTACTAATTTTACTTATTTTAAAAAAAAATGAAATCTAATGAATTTTACGAATTTCAATGAATAGTGCGATTTGTTTATGCCAGTAAAAGGTAAAATTCTTTTTCTGGAATTAATCTTAATGCGCATCCCATTATTATATAGACTTTTTATTAATTCTATTTTTTCTAATGTAGATGGTTATCAGACTACAAAAGAAATCCGTGCTTGGGAAGCAGATAATTTGTCTCCAAATCAACGTCCTATTCCAATTATCGCAATGAGCGCTAATGTATTCAGCGATGTCGCGTCGAAATGTGATACCGCGGGATTCAATACATATGTTAGCAAACCAGGTCAGTCTTTTTTGCAATGTTATACGTTTGGGTTTTGAAGGTGTAATTTTAATCAGATCGATTTCATTTCATCCATCAAATAGTCAATTTCGCGACATTAAGTGACGCTATTAGGAGTGCATTAGTTGTTAATGATACAAGTATCCAAGACAATACTAAGTCATCATCGTCTTCTGTTCCAGCCAAAAGTGATACAAAGATATGATAATTACTGAAAAGGGCAGATTAATTAATAAAGGAATGAAAGAGCCTATCTATAAATAGCATTTGGGATTTTGAACAATTGGGCTTTTTGTTATTTTTGCTTTAAAAACAAATTTGTTCATCTATATTTCTACGCATTCTTTGCTAGTTTTTTCTCCCTTTCTTCCTTCATTATTCTCTTCCCTTATATAATATGTTGGCTTTCGTTTACTTTTATAATGTTATATTTGTGTAATATTTTCTAATACTATTATTATTACTATTAATATTACTATTAATATTACTATTAATTTAGTGACAGCTTATTCAATCATATACATCATACGTGCACACACATTATTAGAAAATTTCTTCTGGTTCGTGTCTTGAAAGAAAAGGTGTAGCCATTTTCAAAAAATTTACTTCAATGAATCAATATATAATAAATATTAACGTTAATACTCCAAGAAAGTTTATATTCATTTTCTCATGATCCTATTTTAGCAAAACACCTGTTTTTGTAATTCGCAAGAACAGGTGCTTTGCTGAAATTCATATATAGAATTAGAGATGTTAAGTGATGCTTCATCTTGTGAGTGAAGGATAGAATTTATACTTAAGTTTTAAATAGTTTTAGACTTGAAATAGTTTAGTAATTTTGTTATTCTTGTATTATACACATCCCTACACTATATTACTGGAAATTGAAAATAAAACAGTAAAATTGATATTATTGCTTTATATTAAAATTTATTATTTTATTAATAAATATTTTTTATTTTTATACTAAAATAAAAATGATAATTTATATTTTTAATATATATTTTTCTAGAATTTTTTGTTCACTTGTAAATATAAAAAAACTTTTTTATAATTAAAATTGAAAAAATTACAATTTTAATTATAAAAATTTTTCTTTATATTTACAAGTAAATAAAAAATTCTAGAAAATTCTAGAAAAATATATATCAAAATATAAATTATTATCTTTATAAAATAATATCAATTTTACTATATTTTATTATATTTTTTTCAATTTCTGGTAATATAGTATAGAAATATATATTATTAATTAGTAAAAAATATTTTATTATAAATAAAGCACAATTAGAATTTTGAAAAAAATATCAATTAATTAAAAATAAAATCTAATTTATTAATAAACTATTTTTTATTTATTAATAAAATTTATATATTAATTAATTTTAAATAATAATAAATTTATATTATAATACTTATATTAATTGTATATGATTGAATATTAATATTATATTGCTTTACTATTTTATATTAAATAAATATTATAATTTATTAATAATAGTAAGAATTTATTTATAAAATAGAAAAAAATATATTGTATAATAATTTTAAAATAATTGAATTTTTGAAATTAATTATATACAAAATTTAATTAAAGATATTAATTAAATACTTATATTATAATAATATCTATTAGAAATTTAATTATAATAATAATAATAATCTTCTTTAAACTTATATAAATCAAAAATATTAATTATTTTATTTTTTTTAAATTTCTTTAAGTTCTTTAGCAAATTGTAATTTCAAGTTTTTTTTGTGATTTAATTCAAATTTTATTAAAATTATATGATAAAAACTAAAGACAAAAAATTTAGTATTATTATTATTATTAAGTTTTTAATAATTTAATTCAAGATTTTATTAAGATTATATAATAAAAACTAAAAATAAAAAATTTAGTATTATTATTATTAAAATAATAAATAATTATAATTAAATTTTTTTATAGTTATATTTTTTTATAGTTATTCTATTTTATTTTACAAATTATATATAAATATGATAAAAAATTATTTTATAGTTATATTTTTTCTACAGTTATCAAATTTTGCTTTTTTAAGAATGATAATTATAAAAAATTTAATTATAATAATAATTAAAGTTAAATTAAGAATTATTTTTTAAAATATTCAAGAATTTAATAATTTTTTATTTTAAATTATTAAAAAATATTTCAAATTTCTTACTAAATAAAATATTCAATACTTTTAATAATTTGTTAATAAAATATATTTCAAAATTCTTGATAATATCTTGAAGAAATTTATATTATTTATAAATTTTATTAGATATTTTATAAATATATTAATCAGAAATTAATTTAACTAATTATTTATTTTGATAAATATATAAAATTATATTTGTTCAATTATAAATTATATTGTTATTATTTTTAAGATTATTATATATAATGATAATAATTTTGAAGTATAGTCCAAATTATATTTTTAAATAAAAAATTAAATAACTAAACTATTTAACAAAAAAATCTTATAATATTATAAAAATAATAAGTAAAAGAGATTGAATAAATATTATTTTATTTAAGAAAACTGATAAATAAGATAATAAAATAAAAATAAAACAAAACAAAATAAAACAAAACCAAAAAAAACTTAAAACAAAACAAAATAAAACAAAACCAAAAAAAACTTAAAATAAAGTCAAAATTTAAATAAAACAAAATTAACAAAATAAAAATAAAAATAAAATAATAAAAAATAAAAAAATATTATAATATAACAAAAATTTCTTAACAAATTAATATAAATTTAAAGAATATAATAAGTTATAATTATATTTATTAAATAATATTTAAAATATAGAATATAAGATAATAGTATAATAAGTATATTAAGCTAAGCTATATGTTATTTATATATTTATATTTATATATTTATTTTTATTTCAAAAAAACCAATTAAAATTTAATATATTACAAGTAATATATAATATTATTTCAATTTATTAAGTATTATATATTTAAAATTAGTACTAATATATTTTAAATATAAAAATACTATTGATATATCTTTATTAATATAAAATAAAATTAATTAATACATATAAAAAGAACTAAAAAATAAAATATATATCAAATCTTAATAAAATTGATCTATATAAAATATATATAGTCAAATCTCTTTATACTTATATCTATTTATAGTTATATTCCTTTATAATTACTCTATTTTACTTTTTTATTTATATATAAATATAGTAAAAAATCTTTTTATAGTTATATATAAATATAGTAAAAAATCTTTTTATAGTTATATTCTCTATATATAATATAAATTTAATTTTGAATAAAAAAAATTAATCAAAATTATTTAATTAGATTTAAATAATATTATTTTTAAAGATAAAATAGTAATTATATTAATAATTTGTAAAAATGCTTGACAAAATTTATTAAATATTTAAGTTTGAATCAGAAAATCAAGATTAAAAAAGATATTAATTATTAAATATTACTTTAAAGTTTTGTGATTTTTTATTTTATTAATAAATTAATTAGCAAATTAAGATATTGCTTAGCAAATTAAGATATTGCTTAGCTATTTATAATTCAATATAATTAAAATAATAATTATAATAAAATTTAATACTTTATTATATAAATTATAAATCAATATCAAATAATTTATTTTTATTATTTAAATTATAACTATTATATAATTTTCATATTAAATAAAATAAATTATAAAAATATAATTTTCTTGAAAAACTTATATTATTAAAATATATATTAAAAATTTCTTATTTAAAATAATTTATTATAATTTAAATAATATTGTTATTATTTTATTTTTTATTAAATAACTAATTAATTCATAATATTATTATATTATTTTATATTTTAGATCTTATTAATATTTATTTTTTTAGTAATATATAGATATTATACAAATTTTATTTAATATTATGCAATAATTATTGTGTATTAGCATGTTTTAAACATATTATTTTATTAATTCTCTTGTAAATTATATATATAAATAGTATATAGATTAATATAATTTAATTTTATTATATATAAGATTAACATGAAATAAACTAAGAAGATTTTGGTTTGATTTTATTTTTTATTTTTTATTTGTTTTATTTTTATTGTTTTGTTTTGTTTTGCTTTTTTTGTTTTATCTTTGTTTTATTTTTGTCTTATTTTATTATGATATTATTTTTATATTTGTTTTAGTTTTGCTTTTATTATTTAATTCTTAGTTATATCTTTAACAACTTATTATTATTAACTATTTATTATATTTTTTCTATTAAAATCTGCTGTAAACACAGTCATTATTTACTATTTCTAAATATTCTTATACAAAAGAACTATAAAAAGTAGCAATATAAAGTTTACAACCAATCTGTAATGAATTTTTATTTATTTATTTTATTAAATATAATAATATTCTCTTTTTGTTGCTTGATATATATGATGTATTATCTGTTACGCATTTTTAATATCTCGATCATTTTTTTGAATATGCATTATTATGATATCAAACATAGTTTCAGCATTACACTTTATAATTGTGCAATTATTACAACAGGTGATTGATTATTCTTGCTCCAGAATTGATAACTAAGTATGATTTTTTATTTGGCCTCGTCTTGATTCATTAACTATTATTCCAAACACAGGCACTTTTTTTAATTGATAAATTTGTCTATTGAAATATAATTCTGAAATATCTTGATGTCATGTACATAGAGTAGATATTGATAACCAATCTTGAGATGGTTCTCCTATTAGAAATTCATAAACTAATCGCATGCACTCAACAGCAGAGTGTAATGATATTTGATCCACTTGTAGCAAGCCAAATTTTTTATTAGAATTAAAAATAGATCTAACTTTTTCACAAAATTCTTCATTAGTAATCTGCTTTGAACATGCTATGTGCTTTGATTTTTGATCCTGAGAGTGTTGAGCTTTTGCTCCAAGTGATTGAGTTCGTTTAATAAGTGCTTGGTTTTTTTGATTAAGTTTTTTATTTTATTGTTCTAGTTTCGAATTTGAATCTTGTAAAGAATGATAATCCGATTTATGTTTATAAAGAATTTGAGCAAGGCAATTGTATGTCTTTCGTTGTAAATATGAAATTATTTCCCATTAATTTGTACCCTTTGGATACCGCATTATAGAGATAAGGTTACTTGCTAAAGATAATTCTTTATCAGGTAATTGCTGTATGGTCGAAATTAATTGCGTTCTTTTATTGGATGCCTCTTTGATGGGTGCCTCTTCATTTGTAAGTGTTATTTCATTGAATTAGTTATTTTTTAAGGCATGCATTTTTAAGTGGAATCGGCGTTTATATGATTTATAAACACCCACGTTTCTTAGATTTAATTAGATGCACAGCCTTAGTGAGGAGATTGATATATCGATATTGTTTTAAAAAACTAAACTATAGAGCGAAATTTACTTTTAGCCAAAAAAGTTACCAATTACTTTAAAAATTCGTTCGTCCAACAAGTAAATGCAATTAAAATATATATATTTCCATATGTAACGTAAAAAAAGATTCTATATATAACTTTATAGTCGTGATAAGTATGAATCGATTTGTGTTAAAACTTTTGATAGAAATGCAATCTGTACATCTAAAAAAGTGCGACCCATTTTTAGATAAAAACGTATCGGTATTATTTGTTTATCAATCGGATAATAATGATCATTGAATATATCGAGCACCCCCCATTGATACACTCAGTTTTACATATAGTACAATTCGAAAATTTCTATCTAAACAGTCCCATTTGATGAAAGTTGAAATTTGGTGCAGAGAATTAGCACGTTGCAAGTTGCTGAGTGTGCTATTCGTGATGCGAAAAACATTATTCTTTTCTTACCTATTACTATGGATTAGTGTTTAATTCTCCAAATTGTAACAAACGCTTCAATATAGAAGAAGATTTGCACCGCATTCTCTTTAAACTCTTAAAAAATTCTCTACGCACCGCTCTTGATTTTTCACTCGCCGCAATAAAACTAACTATCATCAATGTCACTATTATCGGAGCTATGTATATAGCTCGACGGCGATTACTCCTAAACATGAGGTTCCGCGAATTACATGGCGAAGAATTACCGCTTGAGAGCGAAAAGGAAGAAGTGCAACAAGAGATTAAATATGCCGTTAATTATTATGGTCATGGATTACCCGAGGGCCACGATATCAATCTCGAAAAAGAAACAAGTTTTACTCGGTACGGTCAATCGAATATACTTTTTCAGTGTTTCATTGACGAAACAACAAGTGCGGGTGAATTCTGTTCATTCATATTATTTATATCTTACGTAGGATCGAATTTCATATAATATACTTTCACAATACAACACCTCACTATCAAGAGGCATTATAACCAAGGTTGGTCACATTCGTATTATTCTTCAAACACTCACGCAATTGTACGCGGCTACAAGTCCGGAAATCATCGAAAAGATTATCGTGGCAAGTAGCTACCCAAACGGCAAAAGTCATGGCATTGTGGCACTTCGGCAGTTGACGTAGTGGTGTGCATATCACATTACGTCACGTTATCAATTAAGTCATGTAAACCAAGGTAAAGGATATCCGTTAGCGTTAGTATTGGTATAATACATACATATGTAAATATCCGGGTATCCGTTGGAATTTACTAAGCAAACGGATATCCGGATCCAACATCTAACCAAGAGTAGTACGGCTTCTACGCCATAACCGTAGTGTCGTAGGTAGTGACTACCTTTAGCAATGTTTGCAGCTCTAGTGGCAAGTACATGTATTTTGTTTCGTATGCTCAGTTGGAAGATGCTATGCCTTGGGCGACGAGTGTGGGGACAGTGGAAATTTGGCGGAGTGATGTTTTGGTTCGAAGTAATTTGAATCACTGAAAATGATATCGATAAATATTTAACTCAAATATATGGATTTAGCTTTTGGCGGGAATTGGGTGTAATTGTATGACGCATGATTTCTGGAGGCAGGATTGGCAAGTCATTATCGGTGCGGCATCTTTGAATGGAGATAAATAAATATCAAGGATGATTAATATAATAATATCGATATTGCACCAACGAAAATCTGGCATTTGTGAAACAAGCGAAAGTTTTTGATACCTTGTCGATTCAAATAATTTTATATGAATAAGATATTCAAGTGTCCGACTTATGAGCCCTGAATAATCGAAATTTAGGTACTTTTTAAAAACTGTTCATTGGGGGGGGGGGGGAATTTTTTACTATTTCCTTCGATTACAAAATTACGACAATTTTCATCTGTGCATCTAATCTCGAAATTTCCTTATCCTGGATTTCGAAGTTTGGGATAGGTTTGATTATTATTTGTGTATTGTTAATTGGCCGGTATGCTTTACGAGTAAAAAATAAAAAAGATTTATTTGCTTTAATCAATTACGAGCACACTTTGGCATAATATAAAAATGATTTATTTCAGTAGTAGATCAATGGAACTTGAGGATGAAATATACGCAGTAAAGCATTTTTAACTACCAACGGTTGGTCATTGTTTGCTTGCAACAGCCATCTAATCGCCTGATGAATATCCCTCTCAACTCCCCAATTCAATTCACAGCAAAGCCCCGTAAGAATTTTCGCCATAACATGACCCGCATTTGCCGCTTCAATATACAACAAAAACGCCTTTAACCGACAATTCTTTTTCTGCTTTGGCACTTGCACACGATCATATCCCGACCCCAATTTATAGCAAGCAGCCGGATTTCGTTGTCGAGCAGACACGTTGAAAAACTCGTATGCCTTTTGCCAATCTATGTTTATCCCGATTCCTTTCTTGAAACATACGCCGACAAAGTATTGGCCATATGAGTTGCCTGTGTCCGCAGATTCTCGATATTTTTGGTAAGCAAATGCCTCGTTGTTTAACCAATGACTTGAGCGTCCTTTCTCGTATAAAAATCCTAGTAAGACAAGGTTTTCTGGATTGGATGAAGACGAGGATGCGTTCAGTTCCAAAGTGCAGTATAAATAATGAGTGGTTATTTCTATGGAATTTAAGTGTTGTTCTAGAGTTTCGCAGATTTGCTTCTTTTTTAGACCACAATCTATTGCGTTGAAAAAACATTTTCTTATTGATTCTAAAATTTCAGGATCAAGTGAATCATGATCATGTCGAGCAATAATTGTGGTTTTATGGTCATCCATATTATATAGCGTGTGTTTACACTTATCGTTATTATTATCGTTCGTTATTTTACAATATTGTTGTTTAACGAGCACGAGTACAACGTTACACTGCTTGTATATGGGAATTTTGAGTTCATTTAACAAACTAAAATGATTTGTCACTTTAACGTTAAATAGTGATATTTTTATCAAATTTGTAAGATAAATTTACGTATTGTCTTTTATAATGCTGGTCAAAATTAAAAAAGTTTTTGGTCGGAATGATGTTAAGTCAAAATTTCAAAATTCTGAAATGAAAATTGTTTTTTGTGTGTAATTATTTTTTAAGGCAAAAGATTTTCGCATTTAATTCATCTCATTATCGTTATTCCCTTTTGAGTCTTAATCAAATAATGAGTTTACTGCGTAACATATGAAAAATTAGCGGTCTTAAACTCCGACCAAATTTTTGTAAAGAAAACGGGTTACAAGATTTTATTCGTTTCAGCACTTACATTCTGTATCACGAAAGGGCGTGACGCATAGGCAGTACTCACCGCATGTACATACTAATCCTATCGCTACGCTTCCATAATTTGTAACGATAACGATAATAGATACGAACTAAATTCTTTTTGTTTAATTCTGACCAGAAAACAATCACAGCCTAGAAATGATAAATTAATAAATCATGGTTATAAAATTCAAGCAGGACGGATAAAAAATCTGCATTTTGTGCCTTTTATTGTTTTATCATTTTTTTCTCTGTATTATTATATTTTTTTTATTGCTTTGACAAAATTATTTTGCTTCGCGAACCTCAGTAGACAATATATAGAATAAATATTTTACAAAAAAAATGGCGTATCGGTGGTCGTCATCAACAACAACATCAACATCAACATCACAAAAAGAATGTATAATCTGTACCGACACGCTTGCACAATCACAATTTCTTCAAATAACACCCGCTTGCAAGCACGCTAACGATCTATGCCGTAGTTGTGTCGGGAGGCATATTGAACATGAAGTGCAGGATAATGGTAATTTTGAGATAAGGTGTCCGGCTGAAGGGTGTCGAAAGATAATGGCTGAATCGAACGTCAAAAAGTTTGCAAGTAATCAAGTGTTTGGAAGGTGAGTATTTTTTTATTGTATGGTTAATTGATTAGGATTATGGACACATAATTTATTTGGAATTCTTAAAGATATCAGAAACTTTCGTTGGTTTCGGTTCTTTCCCAAATGCCAGATTTTCACTGGTGCTCCAATCCAGGATGTGGATCAGGACAAATTCATTACGAAGGACGTAAGTAGTAATACCAAAAATACTGGCATTAAAATGATAAGATTGAATCTAAGTATATTTCATATATAATATTTAGAGGCGGCACCAATAATGACGTGTCAATCCTGCTTCCAAAAATCATGCGTGATCCACTCTCTAGCCATTCGAAATAACTCTTCACACTGTCCTCAATGCGAAAACTTAGCTAGAGCGTTCGAACAAGCACACGAACAAGTACATGACTTCGTCACTAAAGTTCTTATTGAGCAAGGACACGACGCGCCACAAACAGACGAAGATAAAATGATATTTGAAAGTCATTTTGATGCAATGATCAGAGAAATTGCATATAGTATTGCAGAGGGAGGTGATGGCTCAGCTGCTTTATCTGCCGCAAGAAATGATCAAGAACAAATTCAGAAAAAACGTAGAGAGGAACAGATGAAAAAATTAGAAGAAGAAACTAAAGCTTTTATTTCATCTATGTCGAAAAAGTGTCCGAAGTGTAACGTTAATATCGAAAAGAATGGAGGTTGTGATCATATGACTTGTCGTGCTCGTGGATGTGGATATGAATTTTGTTGGAAGTATGTAATTTTTTTGTTTTTCTACTTTCGGGTTGTTTTTCTCATTGAATTATTTTTTGGAAATTGACTTTTTTTGCGTGGTTTTGTTATAGGTGTCGCGGTGATTGGAAAACTCATAGGAGATGTTCCTAATCATCATTATAAGCCTTATTTATTATGCAAACGATATATCACCTCACTTTTCAGTTTTATTTTTTCAGTTTATATTTATCAAAATTTGTAATAAAATATTATTTTCGCAAACTGTCAGATATTAGCCAGATTTTCCGGACACATGATATTTTTTGATGACGTATAATTCGAGATACGTACCGTTATTTTTCAAAATAAGCATTGTTTTGAATTTTTGCATTACACACTGATCTTGCGATTTGATTGGTCATGATCGTGACGTCACGTACAAATTATCACGTGTCCGGAATCTCTGGTTCTTTCAAAATACGGTTGAATATTCTTTTTTGTTGCGTTGTTGTTTTTTTAACGTTATGCATGTAAATTTAGTATAGCGATAATGCATGCAACATTCGCCATAAGTAATACTTCCTATACTAATGGAACATGATATTATTTGTTTTACACCATATCGATATACGATTGTTAACTGCTACCATTATTATTTTGGCAATGCAACACGTATTAGTCCATTGTTATCTTTGATAGATATTTAAGGGACTTGAATTTTATTATTGAAGTCATCGGTTTTCGATTTTCTATTATATATACTCTAAAACGAACACGTAAAGTATTGAAACTTTATCCTTGTATTTTATTCTGTTTCTCCTCTCCAAAAATCATGTTTTAATTATCGAATTAATCACATTTTAATTCGAATTTTCTATCAAACGATACCATAAAAAATGACAACCAATCAATTCTCAGACCAACTAAGCAAAGAAGTACAGCTAGCAACCAAATATGTAAAGGATTACTTTATCGTGACTGATTGGTGGCCAGCCGACAATCCGATGGAGTTTTTTTTAAAGATGAAAAAAAGGGAGTATGAAAACGATCGTGACTGCAAGGAAGAAAAAATCATCTCTTCATCATCGAATGCTGATGGTGGTTCCTACAAGCCACTTTCGAACATATTACGTGATTCGGTTGAATTGGCAACCAATCTACTGGAAGAGCAATTTGAAGTCATTTGTTGGCGGACAACAACATCAACGACAACGACATTATCATCGTCGTCTGAATTCATGTTAAAATTGTATCGAAAAGCCCTAAAACCAAAAGTACCTTCGAAGCAAGATGCATTTGTTTTCGACGCTTTCGGAGAACTTATAAAGGCTTTTGCGAAAACTGAGACACAAAATAGCAATAATAATAACAAGAAAGTGCAGGAAATCAGTGGATCTGAGAAGCGCTTTGTCGTAAGTATTTCTTAACTATTAAATATGTTTTCCAGCTAACTAATCGAAAACGATAAAATTTTATTAGGAAGTTCTTTATAAAAGACCACCAAAAAAAGTTAAGACCTCTCCTCCTTCAGTAAGACCCTCAATTAAATACGTTTCAACCATAAGAAAGGCGCCAAAAACAACTCACAAGACAAAAGAATGTATTGTCTGTCTTGAAAACAAAGAACTAACTCACTTCCCAAAAATCACAAATCAATGCTCTCACGAAAACACAGTATGCAAAGAGTGTATTAAAAAGTATATTGAGGTCGAAGTGCAAGATAAAGGAATCATTGAAATACAATGTCCTGAGAAAAACTGTAAAACAATTTTGCAAGAGCAGGATATTCGGCGATTTGCTTCCAAGGAAGTATCTGACCGGTAATTAGACTTTTTTTGTATTTATTTTTCTGATATATACGGCAAATACTTTCTTTTGTATTATTTTTTTTAGATTCTTGACGTTGACAGCAAAAGCAGCATGTTCGCAAATACCAGATTTTCATTATTGTTTAAATCCGAATTGCAGTTCAGGTCAAATTCACTACGAAGGAGGTACATAACAAAAGAACATCCATAATATGCATTATACATTTTTTCACAAAATTCCTATAATATAGAATCAGCACCGATTATGACATGCATGGCATGCCGCAACAAATCATGCATCATGCATTCATTCCCAATCGCCCAAGGATCCAGCTGCCCACAATGCCAACTTGCACGAGCACAAGCTGAAAAAGAACAAGCTGAAAAAGAAGCCGAAAAAGAAGCCATGCGTCTGGAAACATTACGAAAATTCAATGAAGAATCGGAAAAGTTTATCGAGTTGAAAACTAAGGCGTGTCCTGCTTGCACGAGACGAATTGAAAAAAATGAGGGGTGTGATCATATGACCTGTAAAGCTCCTTCATGCGGTTATGAGTTTTGTTGGTTGTGAGTATCAAGTATTTTTTGTCAGTATAATTTATGATTTTATTTTGGATGAATTTGAGTTGGTCTGATGTAATTATTTAATTCTGTGTATGTATGATAGATGTCTTGCGGATTTTCAAGCTATTCGGAAAGGTGGCAATAAATTTCACAAACCTGATTGTAAGTATTATGCGTAGATGAATAAATGAACAAAATGTAATCATAGTTTTTGTTTTAAGAATCAAAGATGACTGTTAGCGTAGTAAAAGCCAATTTGAATTAATAAAAATAGGATTTTAATTTTTTATTATTGATGTTAACGTTAACCCCTATTTTAATTAATAATACGTAGCGTTGGCGTATCCAATTCTTCCAATAAATATTCCCTCAGCATATCAATTTCCAAATATAGACAAATAATGATATATATATATGTAATTGATCATCAATATTAGCCAATGAAAACAAAGATTGGTTTTCATCATTATGCAAATCCGCCATAATGCATTACTGGATTTTTAATTGATGAAAAAGCTAAGTTATTCAACCGTTGATGGTTAAAGAATCTTGGTCAAGGGTCGGAAATGTTCAAAAGAAATATCAACGCGTTGCCACAAAATCCAGATAATTATCGACAAATATGTCAAGAAAGGCTTCCCTCGAAAGTGAATATCAAGCAATTCACATGTAAATATTTCCAGCAAAAAGAGTTACTAATTATACCAACATTTTTTATTTTTTAACTCTTCATTTCACTACTTCCAACAATGGTAGTTTAGACTTTTCTTTCCTCACATTATGATTCCTCTATTTTACCAAAACCCAATTTCTCTAAAGAAAAATCCAAATACAAAGTAAACTTGGAATTCAATTATCCATGCTAAGCCAATGTACATATATTTGCGTGTCGGAAAAACGCCGCTTCAATGGCTTAGGATTAGGGCACCTTAATGAATTTACAATTTGGGCATAATTAAATTAATTAATTGATAAATACAACTGCAGGGTATATATCCTTTGCTTCCCATAAAGGTTCTAGGCTTCAAAATCTCCGAATGACAAGTAAAAACCAAATCATTATAAATCCTTTCCTTTACGTACTTTCAACAAAAAATAAGGGGTTTAAAATTTATAAAAACATGGCACATCATTTATCGTTAATGATATTTGATTATCAAATAAGCGAATCCAGTGTATTCATGCCAACAAGCAATATCAATGTACCGGAGGAAGCACCAATAAATGCTGAAGATATTATAAATGGCTTAAAACTTTCTTGCACGAATAATTATTACCACCCGACGTTTGAGTTGGCGACGATTCCGGAATTAGCGGTTATCCCTTTTCCAATACCTCAAAGACAGGGGCGGAGACGGAGGCGGGGGCAGAGACGAAGACAAAGGCGACTTTTGAGGACGCGAGTGTGATATCACAACAACTTCAGTCATCAACATACTCTGGGAGTGCATTCTTAACACAAAAAAACATTATTTATATTTTTTGTTTCTGTTCGTTTAACAATAGTTATATTCCTATTTTCTGTTCTCGATTCTGTTCTCATTATATTTTCGATTTCGTTTATTATTACGTTTTTCTCTATCAAATAGAAGGTATTAAATGAGTGGATGGCATATGATAAATAATACTTTGCAACAAAATTCTACATCTAATGCATTTTGTTTTGTAGCTATGTTCATTAGAAATACGTAGACCAATAACGATAATAATCTAAATTCCTTGGTTTTCATAACCCAAGCGGGTCTAGAAATATTATTTCAAATTTTCAGGCACATTTCAATGTCTTTCTTTTACTCTTTACGTGAGATATGAACTGTTGTCTATAACGATAAAAAATTTTTTTAAAATTTTTTATATAAGGAATAAAAATCCGAGTTAATGAGTCTCTACTTTTAAAGAATGTTATGAAAATATTTATATAAAAATATTATTGATATATTTAATGATTCAAATAATATAAATGTATTATTACAACAAAACTTGTCTGTTGAATTCGTTCATGAATTCGGCTTGTTAAAGCTATAATATAATAAAAAGAAATGATTTCCAGATTGTGAATCATGAAAAATTATTATAATCTCACATCATTTAGACATTGAAATATTAATATTTCAGTTTGTAAATTAATAATAATTTAAATATATAAAATATAAATATCACCTGAATCAATAGTATAGTTGTAAGTATTTTAAGTTTTATTTAATAATAAGTATAATACTAATATACAGTGACAATCAGAAAGAATGCAATGACATCAAAATTTATTAATTAAACATAATAAAATGTGGATTTTTCTCTTTATATAAAAGTTTTCAATTTTACTAATAAATATTTTTTATTTT